CCCACTCATGTTGCTGGGCACACTCTAGATGAGGGGTCCTCAAACTATGGCCCACAGGCTGGACCCAGCCCGCCGAGGCCTTTTATCCAGCTTGCGGCCTGGTCCTGCTGCTGCCGCCGCTGCCACCGCCGTTACTTGAAGGGTGGGCAGTTTGCTCCTGGGCCTCTGCAGACAGCGCTTTGTGCCGTCTTCAAGGCAAGGAAGGGGAGGAGCAGCTGGCACTGGGTGTCCCACCCTCTTCCTGAGGACACTAGACTCCTCTCCTCCCCCTCTTATTCCCAGAGAGAAGGCACAGCTGCTGCCTCTGCAGCTGAAGGAGGCCAGGATTAAGGCACAAGCCCTGTTGTTCCTCCAGCGGCCTTCCTTTCCTACCGGCTGGGATAACCAGAACCCCTCCACCAGGTAGGGAGGCAGGGAGGGAGAGAGGCAGCCAGCGTTGTGCTCCAGAGGGACCCCCGCCTGTTGGGTGACTCAGGCACCCCACTCCTCCTCCACTTTCTACTCCTCCTCCCTGAGCCTGGGCTTGGGCATGAGCTGCCGCCTTCGCTGGCACTGGGGGAAGGGGAATTACGCAGACAATGGGTGGAGAGATTAAGTGAGGAGAGAGAGAGATACACACAAGGCACACTCAGACTTCGGACCCAGGGAGGAGGTGGGGGGTCCTATTGGGAAAGAAAACCCCTTCCCCGCACCGCAGAGTGGCCAGAGGCTGACCACCGCTGCTGGCTCCCCCCTTCCCACTCCATGCTTCGCCTCTAGTCACACTCTGAGGAGGAGGAGGAGGAGGAGGACCACTGGCCGCCCCTCTCCGGCTGCCCCTCCGGAATGAGTGAGCGGAGGGGGCCAAAGGCACTACTCCTTCCCTCCCTCCCTGCATTGGGGGCTGCCCATGGCAAGATGATGTCCTAATATTTTAGCGCTCCTTCCAGGGGCGATAAAGGAGCATATTGGGTCCGAGGCATGGGGCAGCCCCAGCCCAATCCACTGCTTCTTAGGGCAGCCCATGGCCACCTGTCTGCATCCCCCCTCTTGCGGCTGCATCCCCCCCACTCACGGCCTTTCCCAGGCGGCAAAAGGGAGGATGGGGCTAAGGAGTGGGGCAGCCTTGACCCCAATCCGCCATTTCCCAGGGCAGCCCATGGCTGTCCGTCTGCATCCCCCCAACATCACCCGGGGGCCTGAGGTGTGTGCTGGCCAGCCTCCTCTGGCCTAGGGCATTCTGGGAAGGGAGGGGGGAATTGTGACCTGCCCAGGGTAATCCAGTGCCTTCGAGTCATTTCCAGTTTATTTTGACCCTATCATGGGGGTTTTCTTGGCAAGTTTCTCCAGGCCCATAGTTCCCACTGAAATATCAGTAAGTTTGTTGATTTAACTTTACCTATTCTTGTTTGTCATTTTAAACATTGTATTTGTTCCCATTTTATTTTTATTTTTTTTTTACTTCAAAATATGATATGTGCAGTATACATAGGAATTTGTCCTTTTTTTTTCTTTTACTCCAGCCCTCCAATGATCTGAGAGATGGTGAACCGGCCCCCAGCTCAAAAAGTTTGAGGACCCCTGCTCTAGACCTTGTGTTCTGTTCATGAGGGGGAGGAATGATGGTGATCTGGGAATGGAGGAGCTTTCTACTGTTCTGTTGTCATGGACAGATCACTTTCTGGTCAGGTTTAGACTTGCTGCAACTCAGAGCCTCTGCAGAGATGGGGGACCCATTAAGATGGTCTGCCCCAGGAGGCTTATGGATTCCTGATGTGGAGAAGTCAGATCTGGCCATGGTGGTACATGCCCTAGTTACATCCCATATGGATTACTGTAATGTGCTCTACATGGGGCTGCCTTTGAAAAGTGCTCAGAAACTTCAGCTAGTCCAAAGACTTGCAGCCAGGCTGTTAACTGGAGCAGATTACAGGGAACATACAACCCATTTGTTGCAACAGCTCCATTGGCTGCCAGTCCATTTCTGGGCACAATTCAAAGTGCTGGTTTTGACCTATAAAGTCCTATATGGCTTGAGTCCAGGCTATTTGAAGGACCATATCTCCCTGTATTGAGTATTAATTGTATTGAGGTCATCAGAAGAGGCCCTTCTCTCTGTCTCTTGGGAACAAGAAAGAGGACCTTCTCAGTGGCTGCTCCTAAGCTCTGGAACTCCCTCCCTATGGAAGCCAAGATAACTCCATCCCTGCTGTCCTTCCGGTGACAGGTAAAGACGTTTTTATGCTGCCAGGCCTTTACTTGACATGGATGCTGTTCTTGTTCTTGTTTTAAAGAATTTTAAATTTTTAAATTTTAAGAATGTAAAGTTTTTAATTGTTTAATTGTCTTTTAAACTCTGCATTTCAATGTTGTCTACTGTTTTAACTTGGATTGTTTTTAAGCTGTTAGCTGCCTTGAATCCCTGTGTTGGGAGGAAGGCGGGATATAAATAAACATAATAATAATAATAATAATAAATTTGAACTTTCATAATTAAGACTTCTTGTTAATCTATTTCAATTAAATCCAATATCTTAAGTTCGCGTTCTCCTATCTCTGGAATGTTCTCTTTTTTCCCCAATACTTAGCAAAAACCATTCTGGCTGCTGTTATCATATGAAATAATATTCTTCCATACTGTTTTCATTTTGTTCATCAATCATATTTTTTTAAAAAAATCAGGCTTGTTCATTAGGTTTATTTCTAATATACGTACTATTAATTGTAGTACATATTTTCTCTCAGTATTCTTTTCTTTTATCACAAGTCTACCATAAATGATATAATGTACCTTTTTTCTTTTTGGCACTCATCCGCATCCTCCTCATCCTCTCACCTGGCTTCCTTCTCTTTCTCCCCTCACCCTCATCCTCCTCATCCTCTCACCTGGCTTCCTTCTTTTTCTCCCCTCGTCCTCGTCCCCTCATCCTCATCCTCATCCTCCTCATCCTCTCACCTGGATTCCTTCTCTTTCTACCCTTGTCCTCATCCTCTCGCCTGGATTCCTTCTCTTTCTCCCCTCATCCTCATCCTCATCCTCCTCATCCTCTCACCTGGCTTCCTTCTCTTTCTCCCCTCATCCTCATCTTCCTCCTGCTCTCTCCTGGCTTCCTTCCCTTTCTCCCCTCCTCCTCCTCCTCTCCCTGGCTTCCTCTTCCTTCTCTCCTCATCCTCTTCCTCTCCCTGGCTTCCTTCTCCTTCTCTCCTTGTCCTCATCCTCCTCTTCCTTCCCCTAGTTTTGCTAGTTTGGCATTTAAGAGTGATTACAGTGGGCCCTTTACATTCATGGTGTTAGGCTCACAGGAGCTCCATGAAAGTGGGGGAAAACCCACATATTAAAAAAAAACAAAACACTTTTTTTAACCCGAGAGAATACTGTCTAGGAATCTCTAGATCCTACAATTTTATGGCCAACACCTGGCAGAAGTTGACCATAGAATTGTATTGGAGGACCAAGAAATGCCTAGAGAAGCATTTTTTCTAGGAATCTCTAGATCCTTCAGTGTGACTCTATAGTCAACCTCTGGCAATCACACTGGAGGACCTACAGGTTCCTAGGGAGAACATATGAATCAAATCCACAAATAAAGCTGCAAAAGTCAAATCCACAAATGCAGAGGGCCAGTTTTATTGTTGATGATTCCAGCAGAGGAGGAGAAGCAGAGTAGGAAAATCCCTAAGTCAGGAGTGGTCAACCTATTTTTACAATTGTCTAAAGCTCTCCTAGCACCTGCCTCCAAGCTGCTGGAGTCCAATAAAAAGATAGGGGAGGGGAGAAATTACCTTAAAAAATGGAAATAGCATAAACTGGCCCGAGTTGGGTTGGCTCTGAACCCTCCCCCCCCCCATGATACCCTAAATCCCCAAACCTCCTGACTACTCTGAAAGCAAAACGAAAACCAAATCTCAAACCTCAAATAGGCTGAAAAAAAAAATCTATGCAGGTCATTGAAGGTAGAGATGCTGAAAGTCTCTCCCATCCACTTTACACAGTTGCACATCCTTGTCCTATCTGGACTGTTGATTTGGACATCAGAGACCTCTTTGACATGAAACAACTTTTTTTTAGAAGGCACATCACATGCCAGCTCCTGCTCTAAAGAAGCTGGCTGTTTGAGCCATTCTGGCTGGGGAATTCTGAGCCTAATAATCCTGAAAAGGCATCTTTTGCAAACTCATCTCAGATGCACACTAAAAATCAGGTGGTGACCCTTATCCTGCAAAAAGATGGAGGCATTCATTCAGGTATAGCTAATATTTTCCAGCTCAGGTCTGTACAAGTAAAACAAAATTGCTCATACTTTCAAATACCTGTTTTTACCCAAAAGAGAAGAAGAGGAAGAGGAAGAGGAGGAAGAGGTACAGGAAAAGGAGGACAAAGAGGAGGATGAGGAAGAGAGGAGAGGGAACCCAATTAAAAGCAAAGCAAAAAGTTTCATCTATTCATACTGACCTACTCCACAGGTTTTTCAATGAATTAATTGTTCACACTTAGTAAGGAAAGAACTACTAGTTCTGATGTTAAGTGGCACCATTAAGCCCCATTATCACTACTCATAAAGCTTGAGGCAGGAGAGTTCAATACAATAGCAGCTATAAGCTTGTTTTTTATTGAAAGGGAACAAGAAGGGGATCAAGACTAGACCTCTGAATATCTGCATTGTCTTTTTATAATACTTTAAAGGTATAATCTGTCTTTACAGCCCCGTTGCTATAGGGAAGGCAAAAGAAAATGAAGCTGTCATTGCTATAGCATGTTAAATACCTTTCAACACAGGGATTTATAGTAATCTGCATTCAAAAATTAGTGTAGATTATTTGGTAAAGTGCATCTTAACCCCCCCCCACTCCTATATGGTTATTGTAGTTGTTGTGTGTCTTCAAGTTATTTCCAACTTATGGCAACCATAAGGTGACCTATCATGCGGTTTTCTTGGTGAGATTTGTTCAGAGGAGGTTTGCCATTGGCTCCCCCTGAAGCTGAGAAAATGTGATGGGCCCAAATTTACCCGGTGGTTCATGGCCAACTGGGGATTGAACCCTGGTCTCCAGAGCTGTAGTCCAACACTCACACCACTATGCTCTTCTGGCATATATCCCCTCATTTAAAAAAAAATAAAAAAAAATAAAAAAATACTGCTCATTATAAAAGGGACATATTTTTTTCACAGGACTCAGTCAATGACAAATACCGCAGCACCTTTTCAATTACAGAAGTAGCATTTCTTTGAATAGACTGGGCAGAAGCAAACTTTTATCACTGTGAACCTTCCTGTGTTGAAAAAGCAATGATTGTACCCTCCCCAGGCACTGAAAGGCAGAGCACGAACAACAATATGCCTGACGGGGGGGGGGGGGGGGGGGGGGGGGGAGCTGTCTGCCAAACAGCACTGGATTTGATCCCAGCTGGATGCCAAAGTCTTGTGCCCTTGCTTACTAGTTCCTTATGGCTTCCATGCCAATGAGGTGGTGAATCTATCCTGGGTTTTAGTCCAAACTTCAAACTTCTATCCAAAGTGATAGACTCTATCTCAGTTACACTCCAAAATATCAGAGGATCATGACAGCTGGTGGCTCCCATGTCAGTGAGCTGTGAATCAACACCATGTTTTAGCTCAGACTCCAAAGTGTTGAATCATCTCATGAAAAATAGGTTGAACATCTTGAATCAATCATTTAAAGCTAACCCAAACCTAGAGAGCATTTGCCAACCCTATAGACACAGAAGACATCAGCCACCATTTCCCTAGTCTCAAAACAGGTTCAGTTCCTTTAAACGTCAGAGTGAACTGTGAGTGGATTCACCACCCCACTCACATTGAAGCTATCAGGCCCCACTGGCCTTGCTCCATTCCTACCAGTGGGCCATGCAATGGTGTTCGGCTTGGGGGTAAGTAGTTATGTTGAAACAGAGGGAAAGCTGGTACTTTCCATGGAGGTTTTAAGACAGCTATGGGCTGAAGGCAGAAGCTTGCTAAATGCTGCATATGATAGACAAGGTGCATATAAAATCCTCCTTGCATATGGGATTTATAATTACAAGCAAGGTGCACATGAAGAGAAAGGCTTGCATCCTGCAAAAAGTTCTCATCATATGCACAGTGAGCATATGGATGGACAGCCACATTAGTCTACTGCAGGGGTAGGCAACCTAAGGCCTCGGGGGGCTGGATGTGGCCCCCCGAGGCCTTTGGACCGGCCCCAGGCCAGCCCTGCCACCACTGCCGCCGCCCGCTATGATGATATTGATTATTGTTGTTATTACTTGTCCTTGGGGTTTTCTTGGCAAAATATTCACAAGGGTTTTGCCATGGCTTTTCTGGGGCTGAGAGAATATGCATGCATATTTATTTATTTATTTATTTATTTATTTATGGTGTTTTGGTCCCTGGCTCAAAAAGGTTGCCTACCCCTGGTCTACAGAATCTCTGTTGGTGAGGTCTAGGCTGACCAGCACAAAAGGTGGAGACCACATTTTGCTGTAGAATAGGTTGTTGTTGTGTGCCTTCAAGTTGTTCCCACCTTATGGCGGCCCTAAGGTGAACGTATCATGGAGTTTTCTTGGCACAATTTGTTCAGATGAGATTTGTCATTGCCTTCCCCTGAGGCTGTGAGCATGTGATTTGCTCAAGATCACCTAGTGGGTTTCATAGCTGATCAGGAATCAAACTGTGGTCTCCAGAGTCATACTCCAACACTCAAAGCACTAAACCATGCTGGCTCTCAATTAAATAAATAAATCCTATAAATTGAATTTCACTGAGGGGATGCCAGTGGGAACCACTTAGAATCTGAAATGAAAATTATTCTGTTATAAGGGAGGTACCATTGGAGTGGTGTACAATTGTACTTCGTGCTACAGTGACACCAGGCCTTCACGTCAAGCTGGAACCTCTCATCTAAGTCCTGCTCCTTTATTTACATAGCCTTCTCCGAAGTTCCATTTTTTGGGCATGGTACAACAAACCCCCACTGAAGAAACTTGCCAAGAAAAACTTCTGTTAGTTTGCCTTAGGGTTGCCTTAACTCAAAAATGTCTTGGAGGCACACAACAACAACAACAGCAACAATCAGCATAAGAGAAGGCTGTAGAAAGTTATATATTGCGCAATATTTTTTCTTACCACCAGGTGGAAGGAGGAACACCATTTGGATTTGTGCCTCTAGCACCCAAATGTTTCTGTTCCTTATTAAATTGGTATGAGAAGTCTGGAGAAACTGTACTTACACTACAATTCACCTGAATGAAAAGAGAACAAGACATAGAAATTGTTAATTCTGCTTCACTCTGGCTCTAGCCAGATAAAATATTACAGCTTGGAGAGCCTAATTGAATATTCTGAGCTTGCAGCTTTTACACATATCCAATAATGAAGTCTGTTTGATCATTCATTATTAGACAGAAAGTTTTTCTGCCAAAAAAAAAGTTTGAATTACAATGAAATGGTTCCCAACCAGTTTGCTTCTTTTTGAATGGGAAAGTTTTCATACATGATTGTGCTTGCATATTCATACACACCCTTTATTTTCTCTCTGGTTGTTTCCTGTACTATAAATTTGCATTTGAATCTGTGTGGCTCAAAGTAAACTGTAACAGCTTTGCTCCTTGGTGGACCATTACTTATAAACGTTTTGACCACCATTGCACACCATTTCCCCCCCTCTTTCCTCCTTGTCACTGTCAGGAATAACCCACAGAACATATTAGAATTCATCTCCCTGTCTGGCCATAGATTGCAAAGATACTTTAAGCTTTCAACATTAAGCTGCTAGTGCAATATTCAGATGGACACATAATGCAATCCCTGTGATATCCTCCTTGCATCAATTGAGAATAAATAAGATAGACAAATAAATTACTTTTTTTAAAAAAAAAATACTGATTGGAGTGCAGAAAAAAAGAGTGGAAGCTTTATAAATAAATTGTCTACAGTATGTAGGGGAGTTATTTTATTTGTCTATGGGATAATATCTACTTAGTGTTGAAGAAGGAGAAGAAAAAAGAGATGAAAACATTTGCCATCTGTTAAGAATACAGAACTGCTTTTCCTTAGGACAAGAGCAAATCTTGAAACTAAGGATTAATATCTGTACTACAGTCACCTCCTACAATTCAAGAGACAATGATTTGGAGCTGTATTCATTGTAAAACAATCCTGAGCCTTCCCATACAACATAAATCCATGGATGCTGGCTTCCAACCAGAGTAATCTATTCATAAGGAATTTGGCCAGGGCACAGAAGCCTATTCATGCTTTGTTCCATGGCTTCAAGAAGAGACCTGTAAAGGAACTAGAGACTCAATGTCAACAAGTCCCCTTAGCTTGCCTGCAAATTCAAGGAAGGCCAAAATTGACAGGAGGAAGCTGTTGGGTGGTGGGGAGGGGGGAAGCTTTCTTCAAAAAATCTCTTTTTTATAAATACCCTGCAAGTTAATCCCCTGCCAGACTGGATTAACTACCATGGCAGCTTCATGGGTCTGGCAGTTTTCTGAGATATTTAAAGTAGAAGAAATGGCAAATCAGTCTCTTCAGCCCTTTATCACCCAATTTGTATTTTCATCAGAAGAACATTCTGGGAGCTGTGTGCTGTATTTCTATGATTGTGTGTGTGTGTGTCTATGTGCTCTAAGATAGCAATATCAACTATCAGCATCTCTGAATGAAGACAGCTTATGACAATTCTGTAAAAGGAACACAGCTTATATGTTAGGAACAGAGCCAAATGAGTGGTTCCCAAAGCCTATAGCCGTGGAAGAATTGGTAAAGCCATATTTGGACAATTATGCCCACTATTTGGCACTACAGTTGAAAGAAGTCAGTGCTGGCTCTGGGATTTTCGAAGCTCTCAGGGAGTATCTAAGGTTGCCCCACTTTAGCTTGTTTCGCCTTTAGATTTGATGATACACAGATTTTATTAATATGTTCTCTCTAGAAATCCCTAGGTCCTCCAGAATGATTCTATGGTCAGTGTCCACTAGAAGCAGATCACAGGGTTGTGCTAGAGGTCCTAGAGATTCCTAGTGAGAACACTTCAGTAGGAATTTCTAAGTCCTCCAGACAAATCCTATGGCCAATGTCTGGAGAAGCTGATCATATAGTTGCTCTGGAGGATCTAAAGCAGGGGTTGGCAACCTTTCTTGCTGGGGGCCGGGCGGGGGGAATGGCGCAGGGGGGCGGAAGTGTGCGCACTCGCCTCCCCGTACGCGTGACGCAGCCACCATTTTGGAAGCCTCCCCACGTGGGGGGACTTCCCTGGGCCTCGAAAAGGCCCCCTGCCCCCATGGTGCATGAATTTGCCCGCAGCAGTGGCAGCAGTTTGCCAAAATGGCATCCGAGACTCGTTTGCGCATGCGCAGCAGTACTACGCATGCCTTTCCAAGGCCCAGGGAAGCAGCTGTGGCAGGCTAATTTGCCCGCATCGGTCACGCGGGGCTTCCCTGGGCCTTGTACAGGCCCCTCTGCCCCCATGGCGGGTGAATTCGCCCACAGCGGTGGCAGGGGGGCCTTTCCAAGGCCCAGGGAAGCAGCCGCAGCGGGTGAATTCACCCAGCACAGCTGCGGTGCGGCCTTCCGAAGGCCCCACGATGGCTGCGCAGCTGCCGGGGGGCTTCCAAAATGGTGCCCACATCACGTGTGCATGCGTGCATGATGTGGATGCCATTTTGGAAGCCCCCCCACTCACGGCCACCATTTTGTTTGCCAAAATGGTGTCCGAGACTCGTTTGCGCATGCGCAGCAGTACTACACATGCGCAAACGAGTCACGGTCACCATTTTGGCAAACAAAATGGTGGCCACAATGCTTGTGGCGGTGGGAGTGTGTACCGACGACGGCAGCAGGGGTCGATGGGGGCCGGTCAGCGGAGGTCCACAGGCCGGGTGCGGCCCGTAGGCTGCTGACCCCTGATCTAAAGATTCCTAGAGAAGTGTTCTCTCCGGTTAAAAAAATAGCATTCCCAATTTTTATTTATGTTTGCATACATTTGAGGTTTTTCCATTTTGCAGGAGGAGACTGTACTCCTAATTACTGCAAATGTGTGGAGGGGGGAGGTGACTGTACTACTCATTATATTTGATGGTATCTGATCTT